CCCACTGAGACGTACTCATGGAATACTCAACTACAACAATGTGAATTTAACTTTTGTACCGTCCCAACTCACAAGGATACCAAGCTAACTATCAACATAAATATCAGACATTTACATGTCTATGTAGCATAAATTGAAAAATTTGATTGCCCCAAGCATGCTTGCTATAACCATGGAGGAAGGACACAGAAGGAGTTGTAACTCTGGCACTTCAAAGCGTCCAATGATGGTCGCCGCCGAGTCTGACGAATAATAGAAAACATTCCAAAAATGCCTTATTGCTGCCTGCATCTTAGCTGGACAAGTGGGGCCAGTAATACTCTGGCAATACTTGTAATTTTTTGCTTGCAATTAAATACAAACTATCGATGTGACCAGGAAATAGAGAGAGAAAAATTCCTGATATTAGACCTACTTTTGCCATCATAAATAAACTTTTTAAATTGACACACTGTTTCATTATCCATGCAAAGTTTGTAATTCTAATCTCCTCCGTCCAACACATCAGTGTGCAAAGACAAGGTACGAATTTGGCTAAGACTGGCCATCAAAATCTTCTCTACTTCTGGAAAGCTCAGTTCATTAGGAACAAACTGCGCTATTTCATTACAGGGAGTGATTTTGAAATCTCATAAAATACGCCTTTGTACAAATGCCACAATGAAAATGATTCAAACAAAACGCAAAATCTTACAAACAGCTTGGCTATTTATTCCAAAAAGAAGTCCAGAAGAAAGCATTCGATAAGGGCAACAACTGCACTTGAACACTTCGGGTATACAGCCTAATAAAAGCAACTGCGCAAACACTACATTTGATGATGTTGTCGGATCATATCAAGCACCAACGATGGCATGAATATTCAACTTCCTATACTGAAGTACGTAACGTTTTAGGGATGCAGATTACCAACGAAAAATTGCGGCGACGATCATTTGGTACAAAGAGGGCTTGCGGTTGCAAAACAGGTGGTGGGTAGCAGGCGTGTGCTGCGCTCTGGCTATGGACATACCGGGCATGCCAGAAAGCGGTATTTGGCCAGATGTTATAGCCCGAGCAGTTCAAACTCCTTCTGTGTCCTTCCTCCATGCTATAACTAGTAAGAAGTAATTGTGAAATACTCACTTGCAAACCTGTGAGTTTTAACTTGTTGACTCTCCAGGCGCACGACAAGGAGACCAAGCCAACCATCGACATGAAGATCATCGAGAAGAATGTTCCCTCAGCCACCAACCCACTGGACAACATGCTGGTGGACACCACCACACAGCACCGAGCCCACCTCTTCGACCTCAACTGCAAGATCTGCACGGGCAAGATGCCTGCGCCCCGGGAGGAGGACTCCCTGACCCTGGCCAAGAAGGCCAAGGTTGCTCGGACCACGTTCCCTGAGGACGAGGAGGGGGAGGGACCAAGTAGCAGCCCCTCTGGGGGTGGAGAGCTGACTGCGGAGGATGAGAAGGCAACCGGGGAACAGATGAGCCCCATGGAAACGGAAGATTCAGAACCGTTGTGAGTCTCAACGTGTATCCGAATCAGATGTCTGTCTAGGGCTAGTGGTAGACACTAGTGATTGACAAAAGAGCGTAATCATTTGGAAAATGACAGGGTTGAAGTTTGGTTGGATTTACTGAATGGGTAGCTTGGAGTCTGCCACAAAATTTTGTATGATCAGTCAGGTGGTGATAAATCACTGAAGCAAAATGACATAGATCAAGTTACTTGATAAGTACAGTCACCTAAAGATTGTTGAGGTGAATACTCAATAAAGCTTTGAATTCCTCAAATTATTTCAGATAATAATGTGGCTCATATTTGACCTGGCTCATCTTTGAATGCTTCCATTCAGTAAGATCAATTGAAATCTAGCTAAACATACTACTAAAGAGAGGGCTTGCGGTAACACCATGTGGATCGATCTCTTTTGGAAGAGGTATGGTTCTGATAAGAACAGGTGAGTGTGTACTCGACGTTTTGACCAGTGTGCTGTGGTCATCCTCAGGAGTGGACTGAGAATACTGGTCAAGTACACATGCACTGGGTCGTACCAGAACTATACCTCTTCCAAAAGGGATCTATTCACATGGTGTTACCGTGAGCCCACTTTTTTAAAGCTTCAAGTATTATCTAAACATATCACATTTTCTTTTCTGTTTCCTCCAGCTCTCAACCTGATGATGGTCCTTCCCCCCAGCCTAGCCCCATCGCCCCATCTCCCAAGGAGCAGGCCCCTATCCGACGCCCCCCTCCATCCCTCTGGAACGGCTCCATCACCATGGAAGAGGTGGCAAAGTTTGCCATGGCTGGGTTTCATGTCTCAGGCCCCATTCGAACGATATCTATGGTGAGTTACAATTTGAAAAAAAAGCAAACCTGAGGTAAAGACTCTATTGTTTCTGACAGGAAGCTTCAGAAATCCTTTAGTCCTCCTTGTTTTATTGATCCTCTTAACCACTTCCTGCCGGGGACTCCGGAATCGGAGAAGTATGGTTTATATGCGTGGCTGGGGTCTCCGAACTCGGGCAAAGGAAACAGGGCCCTGTAACAAAAGACAGTACTCCGAACAAAAGACCAGGCTGGTGGGCATTACCAACATTTTTCACTCTCAGAAGTGGTGATAATCCAGCCTTGTTTTGAAACCGTATACCAGGGTTTGGGGCATTGAGAGCGAGCGGATTACCGCCGGGGACAAAAGCGCTTCACCACCGCAGCGATGAGCCACACAGCACCGCTGCATGCTAATCTGGCCCCTATTGAAAAGAGGTCAGCAGTGCACTGAGCC